TGATACCACTGAAGGAAGGGGAAATCCATCATATGGATGGCCGAACCATGCATGGTGGCTGGGCAAAATTTCAAATATTTCTTTTCTCCCTTTCGGGAATCGTATTCCTAGTTTTAGAAAAACTGCATTTTTCAAGGGTCATTCTTAAACCAAACTGGACCAGATTTGAAACCAAAAGAAAGGGAGAGCATTACCTGATACGGAATCCACACATGAAGCTCCCAAAGTAGGTGTTCACACCCAAAGAGGGTATCAAAACCCACTTCCACTGAAGATGGTGTAGCTTGACATGAAGCAGGTTCAACAATGCAGTCCTTCGGCAAGAACTACAATCCAACAGCTTGGGTCGAGTAAGGGAGGTGAGCACGAGCTAGATCTGATATTTTCTTTCCAAATATCAGAATTAGAACTGATCTTTATCAGTTCAAGAATGGAGGTTGAATTAGGGTTAGGGCGACAAGAGCAGAAGGAGAGAGAGAACTGAGAGTAGTGTGTAAACTTGGAGCAGTTCGCCATCTTCTATTTATATTGCTTAAAGAGCTACACTCCTAATCCAATGAGGAGCTTCCTGATCCAAATATTTATTTGGATTTGGACTCTTTAAGTGGATAAGACTTATCTTCTTATCCTTATCTATTGATCCAAACCCATATCCATATCCAAATTTGCCCATGTAACATAACTGCTTAAGTTGTCTAAGCTGTCATGTGACACCCTGATTAATCCAATTAATCTTTAGGCTTTAAGCCCATTAAGGAGGTGGCTCATGTCCCTTATTAATTGTTGGCTAACTTGGCTCTCTCTATATGGTGTGGCACCCTAACATTGATATCACAAAAGTCATATGGGTTCAACCTAGCATGTATGACAAAACCTGCCCGAATTCATTGCTAAAAACAATGATCCCCTGAGTCTATCAGTATGGGCTCTTAATGGGCCCAACATTTACACTAAATGGTCATTGAGTCCAGCCATCTTATGAAGGCCTAAGGACAATGGTCTTAAGTGAGATTAGCCCATCGGGTATAATAGCCCTCAATGGTCTCACACTTAACCTCTCAACCCTTAATGATCAAAGACTGTCCGACAAGAGAGGTCCTCTCCCTTGGCTGCAAGGAACAGTGTTGCACTCTCTACTCAGATGGATCTTGGGAATATATATATCATATAAATATTTTTTTCAAAAAAAATCTTAAGCACGGTTGAAATCGACTGCCGACAGTTTTGGTTTTCATCAGAGAGAGTGTAGTACCGATCATTCACTTTGTCCGACAAATGGGCTGATCCTGTCACTATGATCACCCACTCGAGTGAATTCTCAGACTGCCCCAACATACCCAAGTTTTGATCCCCGAACGATCTCACCGGTTGGCATATCAAAGACAACCTATTCCGACACCTAGTGCAATATCATAATCGAGTCTAGGGGTTAGGTGTAACTTTCCAATTTTGTCCACTAGTCTCCAAGGTCCAGGGCATATATTATTTCAGTATATATATATAAGCTTAGCTCAATTTTCTCTTCTGCAATTGTATTTTGGAGGGGAGAAAAGTCTAGAGAACTTCAAGAAGCACGACAACTTTGTATGTTCTGTGCTTCCTGAGAACCCTTATAAGCAGGTCTACTTCACTCCAAGTTTGTCCCTTACTACATAGAGTATCTTAATCAACACACACCACCATAATTAATCCACTTGAAGCAACAACTGATATTAGTGCCTTTGAATTTTCAGGTGGGTTGATTCACCTTAGAGATGGAGCCAACACAGAATATGTTACAGGCATTGCTTTCTTGTTTAGTGTCTACATCGATGTGCTTGCTAAATACAACCAGAAGGTGGCATGTGGGAACAAAGTGTTTGATTGGAAAGATCTCATGACATTCGCCAAGAAATAGGTAATGAGATTAATCTCTCTTTGGTCTCTTCTCTCTCGAAGTCTCACGTGCTAACATGCCCAACCCGGATCAGATTAACTGAATTCTTCTTCTGGAAATTAATTGTAGATAGATTATTTGCTTGGGAAAACCCATTAGGGAGATCATACATGGTTGGGTTCGGCAACAACCCATCGAAGCAGATGCAGATGCAGATGCAGATGCAGATGCAGATGCAAATGCAACATCGGGGGATGTTGAGAAGCGTGTACCAATCCATGTCGCCATTCCTTGTCCTCTTGGCGGAGTTGGCATGCTTGATCACGCTTTCTACGTCTTGGGCCTTGAACCCTTCTTCCGCAGCGTGTAGGGTTTTATGGCCGAGAGGAACGAAAAATAGACGAAAGCAGGAAAAAGAAAGGGGAAGGGGAAGAAGAGAA